TCCTGGGCGCAGTGTTCTCTCCAGCGGTCACTCCCGGGGTGCCCCAGCCTTCCCGCTGCCCGCGCTGCGCTCCCGAGGCGGGCGCGGTGGAGCTCCGCGGCTGGGGGCGAAGGTGCGGAAGCGAGAAGCCCGCGGGAGAGCAGCGGGTCCCGGCCTGCGGACAGCGAGGCCCGAGGAGCGGGCTCGGGCCTGAAGCTTCGGGCCCTCGGGCAGCCCTCTGGCTGCCACGCCTAGCCAGTCATTACGGAAATGTCCGGAACCAAAAATAGAAGTTGGGGGGGGGGGCGCTTAATCCTCCGACCTTAGAAGAGCTGCGGGGGGGCCTCCCTGGCGCCGGGTTGAGCGCCGCGCTGTGAAGCTGTCCGCAGCCTCTGCAGTGCGGGTTCGATCCCCACCGGCTGGCGAGAAGCCCACATGGTGCTGCTGCCCTCAACAGTGTATTTCTATCGTCTGCCTGTTCTGCTCCCCGCTCTGTCTCTGGTGAATCCTCTCACCCCCTGCGCTTCTGGCCTGCACCCCAGCTCTTGTACAAAAATAAATAAAACCTTTATGAAAAAAAAAGAATTGCTGCGGGGACGGGCTGCAGGTCGGCCGCCAGAGGGCGCTGTCGCCCGCGCAAGTGGTGGCGGGCGGGCGGGAGTCCGCGGGCGTTTCCACGGAAATCCCGCCCCGCTCAGCAAGTCGGTACCCAGACCCGGTCCTGGGGCTGGGGTGAGGGCGGGGGTGGGGGGGTCCCCGGGGGGGTCACCAAGGTCACCAGCTCCTGGACCCGGGGCACCTATGATTTTCCCCTGCGCGACTCCCTGCCAGGGGAGCAGGGACAGTTTCTGGTGGGAGAGCTACAACGCTCACTTACTTGATTTTTTTTCCCACCCAAGGAAGCTTTATTTGAGGTTGAACATGAAACCCACAAATCCACATCCGTAGTAAAGGACAAAGTCAAAGAAAACAGGCTGGCAGCTACGCACAGGACTGTGTGTCTTGGGCCCTAGAAAGTGATGAAATGATCATCTCCCATCAAGACAAGTCCTCTGTGTCTCCCGGCCACTCGGGCCACTCAGGGTCCCTCCTGGGCTCAAGCCTGGGCCTCCATCCATACCCAGGCTCCCACAGGTCCCCTCATCACATCCACCAGCGCCACCAGCCCCGCGGCCACCGCCAGTCCTCAATGCATTAGCCTGGCTCCAAGCTGACCTGGGCACGCTTGCTCCTCCCTGGGCACCCTCGCCCCTCCAGCCACAGCTCCTCTTCCTCCTTTCCTGTGAGACGTTCTGTCTCTCTGGGGTGTGCGATCTCGATTTCATACTTCCCAGAACCAGCTGGGTGAGGTCTGCTTTCTAGCAGCTCCTCACCAGCTGCTCCTCGGTTTTTGGGGTAATGCCAGACCCTCTTTAGTTTGTTTCTGTATCCAAGGGAAGTCAAGGCTTTCCAGCTCTCCAGGGCTCCAGAATAGTCCTGACTTTGTTCTGCGGAAGTACCAGGCCCAATCCACCCACAAAGCTCCCCTTTTAAAGCTTCGCCCCTCTTGGAGCAGCGCTTTGGAAAACGTAGTTCCAAGTCCTTGGCTCTTTGGAGACCAATCTCAGCCAACGGTGGGCCTCACTTCCCCACAAGGAGACTGCTGTTCGGCAGCTCTTTCCTGCCAGTGTCCAGCTCCAGCCTCCAGCAAACACCTCCCCATCACCCTGCTGAGCTGTGGGGTGATCTTGGGTCCCTCTGCGAGTCCCTCTGCTGTGTGGTCACTCATGTCCTCGGTGGTGGGGACATCATCCCTCAGAGGACATAGGGGGCCAGGGTTGCTGGTGGGGGGATTGTGGGCAGTTGGGCACAGAGGTACAGTCCAGGTCTAGCTGTGTGGAGCTGGACGTACGTGGTGGCACAAGGGCCATCGTGCTCATTTTAAAGGTGAGGGGACTGTGGCTGAGGGAACCCGATGCAGGCAAGCCGCGCTCCACGCTTCTCACCGCCTGCGGGGATTTACAGCCCAGGGTTGGGGTCAGCCGAGCTCCAAGGGCGAGCCTCTGAGACCATGTCCAACAGCATGTGCTGCGGGGTGTCTTTTTTAAGGTGGGGGTAACCGTGCTGACATCCCTGGCCCCAGTACTGGCCTCTGGAAATGGTCGTGGCAACACCTGAGCCTCGTCGGAACCATCCAGGGGAGGTTATGACCCAGTTCAAGAACAAAGCTTCCAGAGTGAACGTATTCACTTCTCAGTTACTAGACCAGCCATTTGGTACCTGCAGGAGCTGCCACACCTGCATAAGGAGCCTCATCTGAACCTGCAGGTGCGTTCTGCCACCATCCTCGGCTGGGTGGGTTCATTGTCCGCTGCTCTCCACCAAATGTTCTCTGTGTCCCCTCTGACTCTGCCCTTATGTGCTCAGCCTCTCAGCTCAGGTGTGCACATCACACATGCCCACACCAGGTGTCCGCTGTCAGCCACACGTGCCCCAGCCCACGTTCCCAAGAGCCTCCTACATTCAAGGCCACAGAGGCCAATGGCGCAGAGGCCTGACCATCTTCATCTGCCCTACGAGGAGCCTCGCAGATGGTGCCTGGGGAGAGCTCTGTGAGGCCCCTGCGCCTGCTCCCGAGGGCAGTGCCCTGGGATTGAGCTTCCTTTACAGAAAGTGCTCCTGGTTCAGTGCTCAGCCTTGTGAACCATGAGCAAAAGAGCCCGGCTTACGTGGATGACGCGGCACATGCTGTTTGCGGGCCTGGCCCGCTGTGCCCCGAAGCCACAGTGCCGTGTGACTGTGCAGCGTTCAGCCGGTTCCTGCGACTCCATCACCCGCGCCACCTCCAGGATGCCCGTGGCTTCCCCAGTACCATGCAGGTCGTGAGCCATGAAACCGGATTCTGCCAGGTGGGCCCGACCTGGAGCCTGTCTCCATGCACCTGCCAGGTGTGGTGACCCCAGACAAGCTGCGGGCGGGGGTGGGGGTGACAGACCTGGGCGGATGCAGTCCAGGCGCAGCTTGCGGGGGAGGGGGGGGCAGGGGGGGGTTGGGAATGAGGGGGGTATCCCAGCCAGGCCCATTCTGGGGAAGATGCCCCAGGATCATCGTGGGCGCCAGGTGAGTGCACCGCCTGCTTTCCAGCCAAGGCCCCGCAAAGTGACCAAGGCCCCAGGTCTGGGCGCCCCACTCAGCAGGGGTGCGTGTTCCCAGCCCCAGCTGGTGGCTTTGCAGACTGTGGAGGGCCCCTCTCGCTGGGCCTTGTCAGGAGACCCCAGGGCCGCGAGGTTGCCTCAGTGTCTGTGGAAGCCCACTTGGCTCCAGAGCCCGGGCTGTGCCCCAAAGCAGCACCTGGGGGAGGGGCTGGTGTGTGGCACCCATATCTGGGAGGGGAGTCCAGGTCCGAGTTGGGACTGGGAAGCATGAAGGCAGGGAGGTGGCTCAGTGCACCCCAGGGTGCTGTTGGCCTGATCCACTAGGTCTGGCTGACTCAGCCCCCTGGCCCCCTTAGAAGCCTGCAGGATGAGCCTTGGGGTGCGGGACAGGTCTGTGGCTCCCTCAGATCCCCGGGGACTGTGGACTCCTTGCTGGTGGCCAGTGCGCAAGATGGAGGTGCTCGGCCGAGGAGCCCGGGGAGGGAGCTGAGCGCACGGGACCATCTGGTGTGGACTGGGACGGACAGGGCTGATGACTGCCTGCACGGGCCCCACTGGGGAAGGGTGGGGTGGAGGGAAGAAGAAGCAGCCCAAGAGAGGGAGCCCCCGCAGGTCTGGGGAGGGCCTAAAGAAAGCAACTCGGACCCCTGACATCCATCACCCAACCTTCAGGTTTGCATATCTGGAACTCTGCTTATGACCCTACCGGACTCAGCTGGCACAGGCCTGCCGGGAAGCCTTCCCTTGGGGAGCTCCTTCATGGCACAGTGCTGGGGCCTGGCAAAGGCCGGCCGGGCTCCTCCAAGTGGGGGGCATTCTCACTCAGGGGCCTGCTGGGTGCAGGGCGGGGTGGGGCAGACCGGAGGACAGGGATCCTCAGGCACAGAGGGATAAGAGCCTTTTGAGGAGCCAGAGAAGGGGGCTGGTGGCGAGACTAGTACTTCTGGTAGATTCTTGGGGAGCTGGAAGTGGGGACCTGGCCCTCTGCGGCAGGGAGTGGTCTGGGGACTGGAGCCCTAACACCACTGGGTGATGCAGGCAGAGGGCGCCAAGGAAGCAGAAGCCGCATTCCAGGCACCCCCAGGACACACAGCTCTTGGTGTTTGCTCCGACATCATCCATTTCGGGGGCGAGACCACATGGCCACAGGCCTCCCTGATTCTGGGACCTGGAGCTCATTACACCCCCAGTCTAGGCTGCTGGGCCAAGCAAAGGTCCAACGGAACCTCAGAAGGGACAGGGCAAGTCCCTCAGGGGACGATAATGCGCAAAGTGGGGTTTCTTCAAGTGCTTCTGCAGGTCACATTCTGGGAATCCTGCAGGGGGACCAAGGAGCCTTCTGTTTACTGCAGAGTCTCTCTCGTGGTAGCTGCTGTTTATTTTACTAAGAGCCACAGCTTCTTGTCAAAGAAATATCTTTCCTGTGACATTGCCAGGGTTCAGCCCAACACGGGGCTTCTCAGCCTCGGCGCCAGAGATGTTGGGACCTGAGAATTCTCAGTTGTGGGGGCCTGTCCAGCGCACGGGGACTGGTTAGCAGCCCCCCAGGATGCAGATACTCCAGCAGCCCACAGCTGTGACGAATAACTTGAAAAATGTCTCCAGACATTGCCAAAGGCCCCTAAAAGGAGCCTCGAAAGATGTGACCTGGGTCCAGTCCAGAAGGACGTCCAGGCAGGCCCTGCTGGCCGCCTCGCCACTACCCCCAGCTGCAGGCCACTGGAAGCCAGAAGCCCCACCCCCTCCTCGCCACCTCTCTTGCTTGTACCCACAGGCCTGAGGTCGCCTCCTCTTCCCATACCCACCCCTCCACCTAATCCCATTTCTGCAATATCTTGGGAGTGCCCCCCAGGCTTGTTGGGGAGCCCCTCATGCACTGCTGCTGAGGCCCCCACAGAGGGAAGTGCGGGTGTCTCCTGTGTCAGAGGATGTTTACTGCTGTGCTTATCTTAACATAAACATGGTCCCAGCAGAAAATGTGGCAAATCTTGAAAAAAGACGGAGCAACCAAGGTCCCAGTAACCCCGCTCCACCAGAGGGAGCATGCGGATGTGGGGAAGGCTCCCCTGTAGCTGTGGTGCACCCCCGGCCCTGGTGTACAGGCAGGGGCAGGCCCCCAGGAGCCAAACGCAGGCCAAGGGCAATGAAAGGGGCCACTGCCAGGCTGGATGGTTTTATTCAGATCCAGGGACAGAGGTGAGCACCGCCTCAGGGGTTTCCACCACGTCCCCTGCCTCCAAGAACCTCAGAACTCGTCCTTGAGGTCAAAGTGGGGTTGGTCTTCTGGCTTGAAGTCCAGGTTGGGGCTCCCGTCGGCGTTGAGGATTCGCCGGGCGGTATAGCCCACGATGGGGTACTTGGCTTTGTAGACTCTGGTGAAGACGTCCTCCAGGGTTGCCAGCTCCGCGGCCGTGAGGCCCGTCTGAGGAGAAAGCCAGGGAGCGTGGGGGGGTGGGGTGGGGGGGGGAGTGACTCCATGTGGGCCTCACCAGCCCCGCCCCACTGAGGCAAGAGAAAAATTAGCTCATCACAACAGAGTGACAATCATCTTTTAAAGAGATGATTCTGGGGGATGAGGGGAGCAATTTTGCTGTGTGGTTGATGCAGGACCCCAGCCTGGGGTGAGAGGGGGCACAGTGCTGCCTGCCTCACCACCTTTCCCAATAAACCCCCACCCCCTCCCACTATACACTCACACCCATTCCCCTTCTCAATTCCTGGGTGCCTCTTGTGTCTTAAGAGTCTGGCTCCTTGCTGTACAGTTGGGGTGACCACCAGCCTTTGGCTAAGATCACTTGGACCTGGAAATAGTTTTGTTCATACTGATTTCGCCCTCATGGAAATTTGAGAGTGGGGTGACCCTGCTTCCCCACCCCCTTCATCCGGAGCTGCCCAGAGGCCTGAGTGGGTCTCAGAGTCGAACAGCAAATAGGTGAGAGGCCGGGGGCAGCGGAGGCACTGCACAGGGCAGGCTGCTAGGCAGGCCATGCCCATCACTGAGTCGGGTCACAGACTCACAGCCTGGACTTGATTCTGTGGCAGTGGGAGTCATGAGAGGCTCCTAAGCAGCACTGGTCTAGTAAGATGTGGCCAGAGGTAAGCAGCACTGGCCTAGTAAGTCGGGCCAGGCCCCAGCCAAGGGGGTGAGTGTCCCCACAAAGGCTCACCATGTCATGCGTGAGGTCTGCGGGGTCCAGGGACATCTTAGCCACCCCTCTGGTGGAGTCCTTGCCCGTCAAGGCATTGTAGGGGGCTCCTCGGCCATAAAACTCTGTAGTGGGGGAAGAGGACGTGAGTGTGGATGTGGGTGCAGAGCAGCAGGATGGTGCAGGCTGGGCAGGGGGCTTTGTCCTGGTGGGAGAGGAACAGGGGCACTGTAGAGCTCGATGGACACCCCCGCACCTGGCTGGATCCCACTAATTCAGAATATGGAATAAACCACACACCAGCTGAGTGTGATTAAAAAAAAAATACAGAATAGCAACCATCTCTTTAAAAATATTTAAAATACAAATAAAAAGATTCATTTTTCTTTCTTTTTTTTTAAGATTTTGTTTATTTATACAAGCACTGGGTACAGTCAGAAGTGAGGGAGGGTGAGAGAATTCACCAGAACCAGAGCGGGGAGCAGAGCAGGCAGAAGGACCGAAGTACACTGCTGAGGGGAGCAGCAGGCGACAGGAGAGGTCTGCATGCCATGCAGGACCCTCCTCCAGTGACCGGGGAGCAGCCGGGGATCGAACCGGCGCTGCAGAGGCTTCAGGCAGCTTCGCAACCCAGCACTCAACTGCTGCGCCACCAGGGAGGCCCAAGATTCATTTTTCTTAAAGGTTGGTGGAATCCATGTCTGTTTCCTTCCAACTGTGTTTGATGTCACAAGGCCAACCCCAGGACATCATTAGTAATAACCACGAGAGAAACCATAAAACAGCATGCCTGTTCTGCTCCCCGCTCTGGCTCTGGTGAGTTCTCTCACCCTCCTGCGCTTCTGACTCTACCCAGTGCTTATAAATAGATAAATAAATCTTACAAAAAGAAAGAAAGAAAGAAAAAAGAACCACCCAAAGACTGTTAACTGGACCTGAGGGAAAGGGTGAGCCCAGTGCCCCTCACCTTCCTCCACCTCCAGTGCCCCCTCTGGCTTCTGAGTGCCCCAGAAACAAGGATTCATTAGTCCAAACCACTCACCCTTTCCAGAAGTGACATCAAACACCACCCCCTTCACGGCCATATAGATGGGCTGGTCTTCCTAGGAAGCAGGGAGTTGCTGGGTGAAGGCAGAGCCCAGGGCCTGCAGAGCCCCTTAACAAGACCTCTTCCCAACGGGCCACAGCATGGGGGGCTCAGGCTCAGACTGAGACCCCCCACTGCCACCTTCACTTACACATCAGTGATGTGGGCAAAGTCTGCAGGACAAAAGATCATGCCCAAGGCCAAGACGACATCTTTGTTTACCAAAAAACAAGCAGACCTATTCCAAATTTCCTTTCATCTCCAAAATGCACTGGGACGGATGGTCTCCCGGATAAAGGAGCTATTGTTTACCTTGCTTCTAGGTAACATTTCTTTTTATGAACACATCCAGTTGTTGAAATAACCAGACTGGCCCCTGACCCGCAGGGCCGGTGGCAGAGTAGAGATGAGCTGGCCTGTCTTCTACCTGAGGTGCTGGGTTGATTCCAATTCCTTAGAACGAGAATTGGCTGCATTATGACTCTCTCTACAAATGACTTTCTAATCCAGTGAGTTCTTTCCTTGAGGCTTCTTCCAACATGTGGAATTCTTGGGCCAAACCATACAAACTTTTTATATGTCTCCAGCTCGTCCTTCACAGTGCTAGAAGCATGGGATCCGTTCTGTCTTCCCACAGTTCTGACAGTGGGTTTTGTGCTTTATCTTTGATAGATTCGAAGGTATAAGATGTTAGTGCAAAAAAAGTTCAGCGTGACATTATTTAGTATATATGCTGCCGAAGCAAACACCAGCATGACATTATTTAAACAGGGAAAATGAGAAACATTTAAATGTGTGACTTGGGAGCATGATCACAGAGATGGGTGACCCCACATCCTGCCAGGGCCACAGTGCCCTCTTCCCTCCGTGTTCTCTGCTCTTTATGACCAACCTCTCTTTACAAATGATGCCCCAACTGGCATCACTACCTAAGGCCAGGCTGCATCTCCCCCAGACCCCCACCATGGTTCATCTAGGCGCCTTAAGTTGGGTTGGGGGGTCCAGGTCTGAGGGTTTGGAGAGAGAGAACTATAGGCATGACTTGCTTTCCTGAGTGTAAAAGCCAGAAATTGGTGCCCGCTTACTCTGAGGACTCTGAGATGCGATGGTGCTGCGATGTCCCAACAAACCATTTGCCCCACCTCCCAATCTGCCATCAGACCCCTTGGCCCTTCTCCCCTCCCAGAGCCCCCTCCCCAACCCCACTGAGGGTCAGGGGGTTGGGAGGCGTTGTGTGGGCGCCCCAGGACTGACTTGTGTGTGTGTCTGTGCGCGCACGCAGGGGCTATTCCCACCCTCCGATCGCCCCAGCTCGGCTCAGCCCCAAGGCGCGGGCACGGAGAGGTCCCAGCGCCGGGATCGCACACCCCGCCGGCCCACGCCCCCTGGCGCGGCCCCGCTCCCCTGAGCCCCGCCGCGCCCCAGAGAGCAGGCCCCGTGCCCGCCCCAAGAGCGCCGGCTCGGAAAACAAAGTCGGGCAGCCGCCAGATCCCGGGAGCGCAGCGAGCGGAAGAGGGGCCGGTGCTTGATCCGGGAGGCCGCGGCCCGACCCCGGGCGCGGTCTGGAGTCGGACCAGGACACCCGTGCCCACTTACCTCCGCCCCGCCGTAGCGGGCCAGCTCCTCCTCCGTGAAGAGCCGCACCGGGGGTCCCCGCGCGGCGGAGCGCGGCGCCTGCCCTGCCCGGGCTACGGGCGGCTCCGGCGTCAGCGTTAGGACCAGGGCCAGCGCGGCCAGCGGCCAGAGCCGCGGCCTCGACCCGGGGCCCGCCATGGAAAGTGCGCGCAGCAGGGCAGGCGCGCCCGGGGCTCAGCAGCACGGTCCGGGGCCGGAGACTGAGCCCCGCCCCGCCCTGCCGCCGAGCCCCGCCCCCGGAGAGCCCCGCCCCCGGAGAGCCCCGCCCCGCAGCCGAGCCCCGCCCCGCAGCCGAGCCCCGCCCCGCCCCTCCTCCCATCCCCTGACCACCCGCCCCAGCTCCGCCCGGCGCCCTGCCACGCAGCGCCCGAGACTTGGAGCCCTGCCCACGCCACCAGCAGCTCCGCCCACCGCTTGCCCTCGGCCGCGGAGCTGGAAGTTTACAGCTGGGATTGTAATCCGAGGCTCCCGGCTCCAAAGCGCGGCTGAGGAGTTGAGCGGAAGCGCGACCGTGTGGCGTGTAATATCGTGTGCCGTGTAATATAGTAATATAGTGTGCCGTGTAATATCGGGGGGAGGCCGCGGGCGGGGGCGAAAGAACTCACCAGAGACAGAGTGGACGACAGTAAAGGCTGATTTATTAAAATACTCTGCAAGGGAGCAGGGGGTGACAGGGGAGCTATACCTCTGTCCTGGAGGAAGGATTTGGGACTCCTGTTTATAACCTGTTCGGGGGGGTGGGGGCATTTCATGACTAGGGGGCGCCGTTCTCTGCTGGTTGCTATCTGCTTAAGCATCAGATTTCGGGGCTTTCCCGCAGGAGGTGTCCTGCCTGGCAACGTTAGCCCAGTTTCATCCCTAGCCCAAGGGTCACGTGGGCCCGCGGCCGGCCCCTGCCAACACCAGCTATGCCCTGGTGTCTCCCCGCATCGTTCAGCTGAGCAAAGTGCACACTAGTTCCAGCCCTCTGAGATTATACCCGCCTTCGGTTCTTGGTTAGCTGCCAAGATGGCTGAGACCGGCACTTAAGCGTTAGCAAGGTCTCTATAAATACAGAACCCCCCAAAAAATAGGACCCTAACTTTATCGATTCGCTGATTTTTTTTCTCCCCAGTAGTGGTTAAATTTTGGGTACCCCAAGTGGATTTGCAAAAGGGAAGTCACGGCAAACCCCCAAATACTAATAGCTAACACGTGTGCAAGGCGTCCTCCATTACTTTATTCAGCAACTATTTCTGGAGGCCCTCCACCTGCCAGCTCGCCGGCCCCTCCCGATCAGACAGGCAGCCCCACACTCGGCCGCCCTCCGCTCTGGCTCGGGCCAGGGACGGCGGCACGTGGTGATGACCACGCAGGAGAAGCACTAAGCAAGGCAAAGGCATGAGGGCCGTGGGGTTGCAATTTTGCATGGGCTGACCGGGGAAGATGGTGTTTGTAATCAAAATCTGCAGGAGGTGGGGAGGGGAGAGGGTAAAGCAGTCTGGGAGCTTGAGTGCGGGAGGATGAGCTTGGGAGGTGAGGGGGAGGGGCCGAGGTGGGAGGAGCCTGTGGGCCTTGCAATGCTTATTTTTAATCTCTGGCTTTTATGCTGAGTGAATGGAACAGAGGCGGGGACTCAGTTAAAATGCTAAGGGAGGGCCTCCGTGGTGATGCAAGGGGTTAAGTCTCAGCACAATGTCAGCAGCCACTGCAGCGTGAGTTCGATCCCGGGCTAGGGAGATGACCTACATAGTGCAGCGGACCTCTCCTGTCTCCTAGCTGCTCCCCTCAGTGCTATATTTCAGTAGATCCACCTGTTCTGCTCCCCACTCTGTCTCCGATAAATCCTCTCACCGCCCACACCTCTGGCCTGTACCTCAGTTCTCGTATGCATAAATAAATAAATCTTAAAAAAAAAATGCTAAGGGAACTGCTGGGCCAGACAGACACGGAGGTGCCTGTAGAATGCCAGCAAGAGAGATGGCTGCTAGGACCAGCTTGGTGGCAGGGGAGTTGGTGGTGAGTGGGGGACAGCAGATGTTTAGAAGTGCTTGTGAAAGAGCAGACAAGTGGTATGAGATAGTGTCATCCAGGCAACACTGAGATCGCCTGAGGGTTTTGGCCAGGACAGCCCGAGGCAGGAGAGGTGGTGGAAGAGCAGCCTGTAGGAGATGGCAGTCAGCTCAACCACTTAGATGGCAACCTCAAGTGTCAAGTTCCCAGTTAGCTCCAAGTTCCAGGAAGGGATCCAGAGCAGAGATACCCATCTCAGAGTCCCTGGGGAAGGGTTATGTTTAAAGTCCCAGAAGGATGAGGTAGCCAGGAAGTGCTGTAGGCATGGAGATGAGAGGGCTGAGGAGCAACTTATGGGGCTCCCCCACCCCAATATTTTGTGGTTTGCATGGAGATGAGAGGGCTGAGGAGCAACTTATGGGGCTCCCCCACCCCAATATTTTGTAGTTTGGGAGAAACAGCAAAGGAACCCAAAGCTGGGATTGCAGCGTGCCAAGCAGCTCAGCTCTGGTAATCAAAGAATCAACTCCTCACTATCGCTCTCTGCAGCAGGGCCTGTTGTCAGCCCCTGTTTGACAGATGGTGGAACTGAAGGTGAGACTCCTTGCCCAGGTAAGGGGAGATGGCAGGGCCCAGCCCCCAGCCCAGGCTCCGTGTGCCCGGGGTCTGCCCCCAACCACCAGGCCACATTTTGTACATATTCAATGTGGATTCTGCAGAGTGACCTACAGAGGGTCCCCCCACCGCCCCTGGCATCTCCATGTCTACATCAGCCTTGTACCTGCCCGCTCCCTTGACAGGACTGTGTTGAAGCTTAAAGTGATGACAGATGTGAAAGGCCACACAGGTGCTGTGGGGTCTGTGCTTCTGGTATCATGGGGTGTCAGGTTGGAAGGGCCTCTACCCCCGAGTGAACTGCACCCCCTTCTCGACGACACCCTGGCACCTGTGTGCTGCATCTCCAGCTCCAGCCCTTCCTGGCTCCGTGGCTCTAAGTCAGGAACTTCTCTGGAACAACAGAGACACCCTGTAATATCTACAATGAGATCTAGCTTCCGCCTCCCTGAGACGTGGCGTCAAATCTGTAATTTGACAGCTACTCAGCGGCACTGGGTCTCTCCAGCCAGTGCCCTGGTTATACCCAGATCCATCTTTCCAAAGGGACAGCCACCTGCAAGGAAAGCAGAAGCTGTTCTAAGTTGAACAGAATGACTGAAGAGCAGGGGCCTGGTGCACTGCTGAGGGGAGAGGCTGAGGGGCACCCAGAGAGGCAGCAGATTACCCTATCTGCAGTGGAGGGGGGGTCCTGGCTCAGTGGGGACCACAAAGCCTGCAGCCAGTTCTGCATTCCAGATGGTGTGAGCATAGACAAGCCAGGGCCAACATGCCTCAGCCTTGATCAACCTGCCCTGACTCCACTGTGTGGCCCTCCATTACCCTCCAGTCACACATCCTTCTGCCTGTGCTCCAGCAGGGCCTTGTACCTGCCTCCCAGGGTGCTGAGGTCATGCTGGACTTCTTGTCATTCAGATCTCACACACCAGCAACTGCCTCCGCAGGGCTGCTCCTGAACCCCCCTGGAGAGGTCAGCACCACCCCTCCAGCTCCCTGTCTTTCATTTTTGTCGGTGTTCTTGTTACCAAAGAATGAAATCATTTCATTCACTTGTATTGGAGCATCTCAGAAATGCCAGGCACTGCCAGGATCACTGGATGAAAAGATGCAACAGAACAGCCTTCACGGAGCTGACATTCCAGTGGCGGTGACTGGAAAGAAGTGGCAGCAGAGGCTGCATGCTGGGGGGGGGGGGCGGGCGGGGGGGAAGGGCAGGGATTCAAGAAATCCAGGGGTCAGTGGATCACACTCCTCCCAGACAATGGATGGAGTCCTTCCTTGCCACTTCCTGGATTCCTAGTAAGGGTTGCTGCTGGCAGCTTGGCCAAGGATGGAGCCTGGCCCCTGGCCTGGCGCCTGCAGGTGGATGAGCAGAGGCGCCCAGGTGTGCAGCAGCAGCTGCTACCTCTGCTCCATTCTCACCTGGTGCTCTCTAGTGTGTGTCTTCACGTGGTCCTGTCTCTTTGTAAGGACGCTAGGCATAGTGGATTAAGGGGTCACCTTATCTAGGATGGCCTCATCTTAGTTATGGTTTTGCATGATCCTGTTTCCTAACAATGTCACATTCGGTGGTGCCAGTAGTTAAGCTTCCACCTTGTCCTTTGGGGGACACAGTGCCACCCATATGGGCATCTTAAGAGTGTAGATGGTAAGTCAAACCATCTCACTAGCTCCTAGGGAGGGAACAGAAGGAGGTGGAAGCCCTGGCTCTGGGGACTCCCCTGGTAGAGCTGAGCTGAGAAGAGACCTGCCAGGAGCCCAGAAGGGGCAGTGAGTGAGCAGGAGCCATGTCCCGGAGGCTGTGAGGAGCAGGCTCTGCAGAGTGCAGGGCAGCCGGCAGGGCAGGAAAGGGTGGAAAGAGGCCATCCAAGCTGGTAAGGCCAGGCCCCTGGTGACTGTGGGCATGGAGAGGTTGGAGCCCGCTGGCATGTTCCTGTGACCGGGAGGGGACAGCTGGTACAGTAAGCACTGTGCTGGGGCAGCCCTGCCTTCTAGCATGGGGGCACAGCAGAGCCCTGGGGCGGCCACTGGCTTCTGCACCCCAAGGCCGAGGACGTAGTGAGACCAGACTGTGTTCCTTGAGGCACAGTCTCTCCTTCACTGCGGGAGCCCACAGTTTTGCAATTTGGTGGGACAGCAGAGAGGGCCAAAGGGCAGCACTGGGTGTTTCTGTTTCCTTCCAGCCCTCAAGTCCTGCGATTGCCTGACTGGCCAGCAGCCGTCCTGGACTTAATAGTTGGGAATTTAGTAAGTGGCTTGTTGTTTATATTTGTTTTGGCAAGGACTGATAAGTGGATGGGAAAAGTGTTTTCCATTCATAAATTTATCGCGGATCTGTTGGGTGCCTGCCGACTGGGGTGCCTCCTGTCTCCTCACATTTCACAGATGTGAGCAGAGTGGGCGCCTGGGGTGGTCAGGGGGTGATGGGGTTCCCCGTCGACGCTGTCGGAGGTCGCTGCCCGTGGTGATGCTGCGGAGGGGGCGCGCTCAGCAGCCCGGGACAGGTCGCCTTCCCAGGGCCTAAGTCAGCTCTGCCTGCTTCACTGCCCGGGCAGCTGTTCAGGCGGCGGGAGAGGGCGCCCCGGGCTGCGAACACTGCCAACACCCCCAGCCCCAGGGCGAACACTGCTCCTCCATCAGGGCTTCTGCTCCGGGAGCAGCGACCCTGGGGTTTCGCTGTACGGTGGACCGAGTCCGCTCTGTAGGGCCTGCAGCCCAGCAGGCCTTCCCTGCCCGAGCCTAGGAAAGGCGCCCCGGCATGTCACAAGGCCCCGGGTCGCGGCAAGGGCCCGCTGCCGGCGGGGGTCAGCTCACACGCCCAGCGCGCCCGCCCCGTCCTTCCTGTAACCAGGTGCCCCCGCTTCCTCCTCCGTGAACGGGGCAAATAGGAACCTTTGCCCGGTTCCTCGCAGTGTCAGGGCGCCCGGCCCGGGGGTCTGCATTGCTGTTCGGTCGGTCACCCCGACCCGCTTCCTCTGGCCTTGACCCCGCAGCGCCCCGCCCGTCGGCCCGCCCCGGGTTCCACGTTCCGCTCACTCCCCGGCCCTTCCCCACGCCCGCCGTGACAAGGAGAGGAAGTGGAGCCGAGCCGGGCGCTGCGGGGCGGCGGAGCGCTGCGGGGCAGGGTCCCGCGGGCTGGGGATCCCGCGGGCGGGGCCCGGGGCGCGGACGCGCCCCCGCGGGAACTGCATTTCCCAGCCTCCCGCGGCGGGCACGGCGCATGCGCCCGGGCCGCTCCGCCCGCCCCTCGGAGCCGCCCTCGCCCGCCGAGCCCGCGGGGCCCGGGCTGCTGCTGCGGCGCTCCCGGGCTGCGCGGCGCCCTCGCCCCGCTAGTGCCATGATCCGGCAGGAGCTCTCCACGTCCTACCAGGAGGTACGCGCCGGGGCACGGCGAGTTCCCCCAGGGGCGCAGGGCGCGGGGTGTGGGGCGCGCGCGGGGAGTGTCCCGGGCGCGGGGTGCGGCGTGCGCAGGGCCGCGGGGAGGCAAGAAGCGGGCGCCGCCTCCCGGACGCCGCCCGTGACGGGCCCGGGAATGATGCGAGCGGGTGTGCCCCGCGCCGGCCGCGGCAGGTGGACGCGCCCCCGCCTCCGCGCTCCTCCCCGGCTGCCGGCAGCGCTGGGGACTCGGGGATCACACCTGCGGCGGCCGCGGACTTGGGGCGCGTGCGCTCGCCGACCGGCTCCTGCGCCCACCTCTCCTCCGCGCCTGAACCGGCACTTTCCAGCCCTTTGTCTCCTGCTTGTGCCGAGCTCCAGGCTGTGCCTCCCGCTTGTCCTCCGCCCAGTTCTTCCTGAAACTCCTGAGCCGCTCTCCTCCTCTCGGGGCCCCGACTTTGGCCATCCTTGGAACCGCGCGTCCCTTGCCCCCCAGGACTCCCTCACTTGCCAAGTGCAGACCGTTCCCCAACCCCAGGCCACCGCTGGTGACCCTGGGGACCGCCACCCCTGGGGTCTCTCCCGGTGTCTCTACCTCCCCCCCCCCCCCCCCCCCGCTCTCCCTGTGCTGTGCAGATTCATTTCGAGGCCCTGCCTCTGTGCACACGATTCCTTTCTCACGCACCTGGACAGCCTAGAGCTGCTCAGTGGCTCGCAAGTGTGCACAGCTGCGTCCCCTTGACCATCCCCTCTCCTCCCCTGCGTGGACTCTGGCCACTTTAGAAAGATGCGTGCTCACAGTGCGGCTTCTTTAACCTCAGGCTGCACTGGTGAACCTTCCTCCCCACCCCCCCTCCTGCGGCCTGGATGGTGGTGAGCCCTGGCGTACCCTGCACCCTGTGAATAGGGGATGACCCGAGGCAGGCTGGGGCCCTGAGCCACAGCCTTGCCATTTCTTAGTGCAGGACTTGGGCTGGAAACCGCCTTGGGGGTCCAGATCTCTGTTTCTCACCACCCCCCTACCTCCACTGTTTCCATAACCGGAAGGGGCCTGATGGGTTTCAGCAGGTGCTGTGGATTCTGTGCTGGACCCTAGGGAAGTATGGCCACCGCGTTGTCTTTCCCGACTCTGAGTGTCGGAGTAAATGCTAGACCTTCCTTTGAAGTCAGAACCCCATGCCCCATATCCTCTGTCTCCTGTGTGCCTTGTCAAGTCGTGTAACTTCCCCATTGCTCCTGCTGCAGGGAGGGAGGTGCCCCCACCTGGGGTGGTGAGGGTGAGACCAGTCGTGAGGACATGAGTGGTGTGCGTCGGGGTGACCCCCGTAGGGTAAATATCAGGCTTTTCTGCCCTCCTGCCATCAGCATTGATGATGGATCCCTTCGGTCCTGAATTCATGCCTGATGGCGGGCACCTGGAGTAGGGTGTGGGCACACGTAGATGGGTTCATCTGGGCTAAGACTGGGCTTATAAGGGAGGCGTCACAGGGACGCCAGCAGAGCGAAAGAGGGACCAGAGCAGAACAGCAGAAGCAGAAGAGAGAACAAGGCCACGAGAGAATGCTGGAGAGCCTAGAAAAGAGTGAAGATTCTCTGGGGGCTAGGAGGCCTGCCAGCCTCCTGGCCCCCCGGCACCCCTACCTACTGTGTACCTGGTAAATCCCAATAAAAGCCTGAAAAAGCCACTGAGGGCTCCAGGACTCCTCCTTCATCCATCTGCTCGGGTCATAGAGATCCTGCCCTGTGGCCTCCTGCCTCTACACCCCCACAGGCTGGGTCTGTCCAGGCTGTACCGGCCTCCCCAGCTGCCTGTCAAGCTACTGTCTTCCTGGGCGTCCCGGGCCTGGAAGTGGCCCAGTTTGGCCTCAATATTTGATCTATGGCTGTGGAGAGTGCAGTGAAATCTGCCCCCCAAGATATATTGAAGCCTTGACCCCCCCCCACCACCACCTCAGGGCGTGACATGGTTTTTCGCAGGTATCACCTGTTGAGATGAGGCCACTCGGGATGGGGCGGCCCCTGATGCAGTAGGACAGGTGTCCTTGGGAGGAGATGGGCCTGCGGGGCCAGGCCAGAGGAGATGGGCCAGGCCAAATCCAGTGGGGCTGCACTTCTGGCGTGGCTCCGGGCCCCGGGGGACTGACCTGCGGGAAGCCACTGTGTGCTGAGTGCCCGTGTCCTTGCCGGTGGACTTGGCGCCACCCCTTGTCATGTGCCCTCTGACAGCCAAGCGTAAGTCCAGCAGCTTCTGCTTTCTTGGTGGGGTGGAAAGGCTGGGCTGATGTGGCTGACGTGGCCTCTTTGCTTCCCCCCAGCTGAGCGAGGAGCTGGATCAGGTGGTGGCCAACTCGGAGGAGGACAAGGAGATCCAAGTCCAAGGTCCAGGAGGCTCACCAGGTAAGAGGCTGCTGCTGGGGGCCTGCCCTGCCTGGTGTCCTGTGCCCGGAGTCCCCCTGCTCTGGTGTCCCCCTGACCCACTGTTCTGTGCCCGTGTCGGGGCTCCAGGGCTGCCCTGGTTTCAGAGCTGTACATATTTAACCAGCCTGGGTCGCTACCCAGGTCTCTGCTCTTTCCTCGGCTCCGGTTTCTGCCGATCCTGGGGCAGGGCCTTTGGGTGGGAGGGTGAGGGCCTCTGCTCTCCGCTCCTTTTCTCTGAGGCGTCGTTTGCAGTTGTGTCTTTAGAGTCTGGACCTCACCCGGGGACCCTCTGGGAGGCCAGCTAACCTGCCCTGGACACCAGGTCATTGCCCCTGGGGTAGTGGGCTCCCCTCACCAGCTGGCCTCTTAGGAGCCTTGTGGTAAAGTCTGATGCTATCCCCCCTTTCTGCCCCCTTGGCTTTGGTGACACAGTGACCCTTCACTGCTCAGGCCACTGCAGCCTCCTTTCTAGTCACCACCCAGCACTGGAGATTGATGGTGTCCCAGCTCTCAGTCCCACAGGCCATCGCACCCAGGCCCAGCCCGTGTCCCCTCCCCCTGAGGTTACTGAGTACCCCACACTTCTGGACCCTGCTCCTGCAGGTGCACAGGTGCGAGCTGTGCTCGGACATCCCCCTGTCCAGCCTTGACCTCAGACCTCCCGTGCGGCCTCCCCTGCTGCTTCTGTTTCTGGCCTGGCTTCACCACGGAGCAGGGGGCCCTGGGAGTCCTTTTTCCCTCCTCCCCTTTTCTGTGCCCCTCAGCCATTCTGACCTTTAATTTGGGGCCTCACCGCCTCCGCCTGTTTCATTGCCCCAAGTCCCCTCCTCCCTCACAAGGTTGTCACCACATCGTGGTCCAGCTTGCTCTTTTTTGTACCCCCAAACCTCCTCCGACCCTGGCGGGGCTGCTTGCCAGCCTCTGCATGGTCCCCGACCTGTGCCCTCCACTGTGCCACTGTCTTGTTGGTGCATCTGCCTACGGGTTAGTGTCATGGCCAAGCACACGAGCTCTCAAGGGACCGGTATTTGCTTTGCACCTTAGCTACGCACTGAAGGTTTGTTGAATGAATGAGTGAGTGAGTGGGGCTCCAGTCTGACCCCAGGTTCTTGGGTGGATGGGGGGTGGGGTGGGATTCTGCTCCGTGTGTCCTCTGTTTGTGGGATGGGGAATGAAGGAAGACTGGGGGGATGAGGAAGGAGGCAGCACCTGAGCTGACGAGCAGGTGTGGGGACATGGCCTGGCTGGGATAGAATGCGCTGGAGGAGGGTGGTGTGGGGCGCCTGGTATGTGGACGCCTGGTCATGGAGGAGGGGCCGGCGCCTGGGCACAGCTGACACTGCTTCTCCACACAGCTTGGCGGATCCCTAGAGTCCCCATGCTTCCTGCGGGCAGAGGGGATCCACCCCTGACTCCCACCCCTCCGAGTTCTGCAGCCCCACAGCAGAACCTTGCATGCGCCCCGAAGCCCCCCATGGCCAGCATGCGGCTCTGGCCTTGACGCTTGATTGCGGGAGAACCAGTGACTTTCTCTGCCAGCTGAGGCTACTGGACGGTTCTGTTTGTGCTTTTAAGAAAATGAAATGGTTCGCACAAACACCTGCATCTTTGTTGTCTCTCCAGCCCATCTCTGTCTCCACTGAACTAACCAGTTTACAGCAATTCGGTGAGCGGCTGATGAGTCCCCATATATGTGACTGTGTGCTGCTCCTGCCAGAATTCTGTGGTCAACCCCACACAGCCACCCCATGGCCCACTGACTCACCCCTCCCCCTTCTCTTCTGGCAGCACGATTTTGTCCTTAGAGCCCGAGAGGTTTTGCTTTGTTGGTTTGTTCATCTCCTGTGCGTGAGTGAAGTGCGTGGTTGTCTTGCTGCGTCTGACTTAGCTCCCTTTCCCAGTGTAGCATCCACGCATCAGGAAGGCTGTCCCGACTCCTGGCTGGTGCAAGTGCCCTGTGTGAGCGTGGGGTGCAGCTGCTTTGGGAACGAGATTTCTGCTCTCGGGACCAGTGCCTGCCCCCCAGCTGGGTCACAGGAGTTTCTCGTCCTGATATTTTGAGGTGCCTCTGTGCTGCTTCCTGTCATGGCTGCGCCAGCCCACAACCCCCAGCAGTGCTCCCCTTTACCCTTCGCCAACACTTGTTGTTTCTTGCCCTCGTAGGAACTGCCTTTCTCGCCTGAGCTTGCCTCCTGGGCTTGCAGCTCCTGGACCCCTTGGGGGGCTGGATGCTTTGCCGGCTGCTGGCCACCTGCTTGTGGGCCTGGAGAAGCGTGTCCGGACCCCCTGCCTGCCTCTCAGGGGGTGGTTTTGCTGTTGGATGCGCTGTTTTTAGGTGTGATCGATCTGAACCACTTGTCTGATAATGGTCTGCAAGTATCTGCTCAGTCAGTGGTTGCCTGTGTGTTTTGATGACTTAGTGCTGAGCTGAAGCTCCTCCTTCTATGTAGTCTCCTGAGTCCTTTTGTTTCTGTCTCTGTGCTGTTGGAATCGAACCCGCAGAGACATCTGTAGGGTTAAGTGAATTAACTAGGCTTTTCATGGCACTGGCCTCTGTGGCTATCACCTCCGGCCTTGATTGTGTTAATGCAGAAGGTGCTTGAGAGAGTGGGTGTGGGCATGCGTGCTTGATTATGGACACCTGGGCGTGGGTGTGGGCATGTGTTTAAGTGTGCACATCTGAGCCTAGAGGCGGGCTATGAGGGCAGCATCACTCAGACCACGAGAGAAGGCCAGAGGGAGCCCAGAGAAAGTGTAAGGATTGCCAGCATGCCGCCCAGACCTGCCTCCTTCGTGCCTCCCTTCCCGTGCACCTGGTTCCCTCAGAGCATTAAAGCCTGAAAAATCCACTGAGGCCTCCGGAACTCTATTAATCTGTCTGCGCGAGTCGATAGTGAACCTGCCCTGTGCTGTTGGTACAACATCCCAAAGGCTGATGTTGAAAAGCTTCTCACCTATTTTTTCTTCTATGTATTTTGTGGCTTAAGGTCTTTTTTTTTTTAAAGATTTATTTATTTCTGCATACAAGAGCTGGGGTACAGACCAGAGGTGCGGCGGGTGAGAGGACTCACCAGAGACAGAGTGGGGAGCAGAACAGGCAGATTGAAATACATTGCTGAGGGAACAGCGGGGAGCAGCGGGGAGACAGGAGAAGTCTGCTGTGCCATGTGGGTCACTCCCTGGCTGGGGATCGAACTCGTGCTGCAGTGGCTGCGGACAGCTTCATAGGTTGCATCTTAACCCCTTGCTCCACCAGGGATGCCCTCTAGGAGTGGTTTTCTTGTTTATCCTGCTTGGTGTTTATGGAGCTTCTTGAATCTATAAGTTGATATCTTTTCTCCACTTTTGGGAAGTTTGTGCCTTGATTCTTCCAATTTTTATGTGTCACCACTTTCTCCAATTACATGTTGTTGAACTGGTAGATATTGACCTACAGTTATCTAGACTGTTCATTTTTTCCTTCAGGTTTTTTTTTTCCCAAACTGACTAATTTCTATCAATTAACTTTAGCCTCATTTTTCTGCCATCTGCTGTCTAGGCTATGTAGTAGATTTTTCATTTCATTAATTTTTCTTTTTAGCTCTAGAGTTTCTATTTTGTTCTTTTTATAGCTTCTGTTCCCCCATTTCCTGCCATTCATTCCTCCCTGTTGATCTCAACACCGGGTCGTCTTGTATGTTCAGACTGCTTTTTGTCTTGAGTGTGGTCACATTGTCTTGTTTCCGAGCATGTCTACTAATTTTTGATTAATTGCTAGACACAGAAACCGGAAGACATGGTAGAAATCCTGGGTTTTGTTACTATCCTCGGAGCGATAGTTTTTGTCTTGGCGGTTAGTTAGGGTGGCAGGACTCAGGTCCCTGTGCCCCCTGGTTTAGAATCACCCAATTCTGTTTACAGCTGCTGCTTTTTTTGCTGGCCTCTAGCCAAGAATTTAAGTATATTTTATTTTCAGATTTTTGGAGACTCACCGGGTCCCCTCCATGAGACACCCTACCTCCCAGGTGACCTCTTTCCCCTGTGCTACCAGCCCTGAGCTGGTCACTCTGAGCAGTGCCTGGCGGGCACTGCTGGGCGCCCTCAGGCACCTGCACACTTGCAGATCTTACGAGGTGTGGCTCTTTTCTTTCTAGGCTGGCTTGTCTTCCAGTTTCTGTGTGCTGTTGACCATCTTCCCGTGCCTTCAGATCATTTTTAAGTTGCCCTGTAAGAGGGAGGTGTGACTGAGTGTCGGTCGCTGGGGTAACCAGAAGCAAGCAGGTGCTTTTGGGGGCTCACATTCCAAACCTGCTCCTCCTGAGCTACTGTGGAGGAAGGGGGCTTCCACTGAGCAGGAGCGGGGACACAAGGACCCCCAGAGTTGTGTTGGGTTGGCTTGGGGGCTATAACAGCACCACAGGGGGAGGATCTCATGCACAGTTCTGGAGACTAGAATCCAGGATTAAGGTGTCAGCAGGCAGTTTCTCCTAAGGCCTCTTATTGGCCTGCAGAGCTCCCTGGGCCCTCGAAGCCTTTATGCACATGCATCCTTGGTGTCTCTTCCTCCTCCTGTAAGGACTCTGGGCCTACCTTATGACCCATTTAACCTTAATTCTCTCTGTTGTTGGTCGGGCTCTGAATGCCCTCACATCAGGGATTAGGGCTTGAACATAGGGATCTGGAGTCAGTTCATAACAGACATGAACACAGGCTGGGGTGCTGAGAGCAGGAAAGATGTTGTGGGGATGGTTATGGCCTCAGATGGTCACTTACCACATGAAGCAGAATCCTTCACAACGTCCGACATGAGAAGGGCTGGGGCTCAGTGCTGGGGTGCCAGGAACAGGACTGGCAGCACCCTCAGGGTGCTCACCACCTTGAGGGACAAAAGGACATGTAGACAGCAAAGTGGTGGACGGGGCAGCTCTGCGGGAGCCCTGAGCAAGGGCTGCCCATGTCAAGTCAGGAAAGACTTCCTGGAGGAGGTGTCTTTTTTCACT